GCCAGAGCAGGTCCACCCAGAGCAGGTCCCACAGGAACGTGTCCAGGCAGGTTTTGAATGTCTCCAGAGAAGGAGACTCCACCACCTCTCTGGGCAGCCTCTTCCAGGGCGCTGCCACCCTCACAGGAAAGAAGTTCCTCCTCATGTTTCGATGGAACTTCTTATGGTCAAGATTGTACCCATTTCCTCTTGTCCTGTCCCCGGACACCACTGAAAAAAGACTGGCCCCATCCTCTTGACACCCACCCTTTAAGTATTTATACACATTGATCAGATTTCCCCTCAGTCTTCTCTTCTCCAGACTGAAAAGATTCAAGTCTTTCCTTGTAAGAGAGATGCTCCAGGCCCCTTTCCTTGTAAGAGGGATGCTCCAGGCCCCTCATCATCTTTGTAGCCCTCTGCTGTACCTTCTCCAGCAGATCCTTCTGGAACTGGGGAGCCCAGAACAGGACAAGTCTTCAAAGCTGTGAATCCCAGGGTCTATAAAGGGTGAAATTCAAACACCCTTCTGAAGGCTTTCCTCCTCTTTCCCAGTACTGCTGCTCCTCTTTTCTTGGGGATACATCCTCCCTGGACCAGTTTTATTACCCAGCTGCTGGAGAATGGAAAACTTTGCCTCCCGCCTCTATCTCCCTCCTTTGCATTTAATTTCTGATCTGGGAATATTCCTTTTCTTCCCTTGCTCTAATTTCTGGTCTCCTGTGTTGCTCCTATTTTAGCCTTGGCTTTGCTTGCTTGGGGGATTCCTTTCTCAGCCGTACAGATTTGTGCCGCTGCTGATACAAAGCACAGCCAAGGTTGTTAGGATGTACCAAGTACACTACAGATAAAAGGAGTCATGTAAAATTCAGCTGCATTGAATTAGTTCTTGCTGGTGGGAGGATAATTCCTATTAATCACGTCTATTACACTAACACCTCAGGATAAGCTCAAGACGGGCAGAGCAGTGAATAGCACAAAATGAGGGAAACTCCCAGCAGCAATATGAAAAGAGAAGCACAGTAGGAAATTATATATCATATGTTGGGTGGGCAATACTGCCGTTGGTAACTCGATTATTTTTGAGGGCAGGAGGCACCCGAGTGGGACATATTATGTAGAGGAAGAAAAGCTACATGGAAAGAAAAGTGGAAGCAAGCAAGAGTCTGAGGACAGCAGTTGGCACCAGAATGAAGGGGAGGGAAATATTAGCAATGGAGAACATTTTTTCTATAAAAAATGAAATTTGAATTATTTTTTTTTTTGTTCAGTGTGAAATATTGTACCCAATTTGGTAGAAAAATATGTGGTTCTTTATGTGTTACAAAAAATGTTCTAAAGTGGGCATCTTCTGCCTTGAAGTGGGTCGGTATTTAAATCTACTCTGTTATTTCAGAAACTACCTCTGTGAAATTTCACCTTCCTACTTCAGACACATTTCCCCATATTTTCCACTGGTGAAATGAGACTTAGTGGCCATTTGTTCCTGCTCCCACCTTATGCTGAGCTGTTTCGGGGAGCTGAAGAGGCAGAAAAAGTCTGAATTTTGGTTAATATTAGGGTTGGCTTTTCTGCCCCTCCAAGCCAGCTCCTTGAAGATCTGATGGGAGAAGCAGCCTTTTTTCTCATGTTTTTCATCAAGGACATCTGGGTTACTACAAATAATTGCATATAGATAAGATATCTGGGTGATTTGATCTATGCTGCCTTTTTTCCTCGGGCACATCTGATTCAGAGACAAGTGATGGGCCCCGAGACATCAGAGAGCATCATCCAGGTCCTGCTTCCCCAGGACACCAGTAGCTTCAGGGATCTGGAGCAAAACCTCCTGCAGGCCACTGACGTCTGGCGCTGGAGCTTTGGACTGGGCTCCTCTCTAATAATTGTGCAATTATGGTAATTATACACACAAAAAAATTTAATTACTTAATCATGTGTAACAAGGACCCTTCAGCTACTGAGCGAGGCACACGCTCGGCACAATTATTCACAGGCATGTAATCTACTTCCCTTTGTATTGAATATTTCATTAGTTACTATTCACATCTTCTCGGAGGTGCTTTGCAATGGCTCAGTGATTGGATTTACTCTCATTTCTTCTTGGCTTGTACAAACGTTGTCTCTACAAATCACGGAATCACAGAATCACAGAATTGTCAGAATTGGAAGGGACCTCTAGAGATCATCTGGTCCAACTCCCCTACTAAAGCAGGAACGCCTCGAGCACATCACTCAGGACTGTGTCCAGGCGGGTCTTGAAGATCTCCAGAGAAGGGGACTCCACGATATCCCTGGGCAGCCTGTTCTAAATATTCATCTGTATTTTATCCTAGGTTGGAAGAGACTCTTTACAACCTTCTGGTTGCCAAAGAGAACTCACCACAATGTGAACTTTGGCAGCATGAGGCAATTTTAGGTTCCTGTTTTGCCTTCAAGGTTCTTTGGGTAGATCCCCATGTTTTTGTCCCGTGCATGTACAGCTCTTGGCAGCCTCGAGCACATCACTCAGGACTGTGTCCAGGCGGGTCTTGAAGATCTCCAGAGAAGGGGACTCCACGATATCCCTGGGCAGCCTGTTCTAAATATTCATCTGTATTTTATCCCTTTAACAAGGAGGTTCTTTACAACCTTCTGGTTGCCAAAGAGAACTCACCACAATGTGAACTTTGGCAGCATGAGGCAATTTTAGGTTCCTGTTTTGCCTTCAAGGTTCTTTGGGTAGATCCCCATGTTTTTGTCCCGTGCATGTACAGCTCTTGGCACTGTTAGGATTTTGGCCATCACAAAGTGCCTTAGCAGTGGTACAACATGGTTAACAACTAGCAGTAGAATATTCATCTGTATTTTATCCCTTTAACAAGGAGGTTCTTTACAACCTTCTGGTTGCCAAAGAGAACTCACCACAATGTGAACTTTGGCAGCATGAGGAAATTTTAGGTTCCTGTTTTGCCTTCAAGGTTCTTTGGGTAGATCCCCATGTTTTTGTCCCGTGCATGTACAGCTCTTGGCACTGTTAGGATTTTGGCCATCACAAAGTGCCTTAGCAGTGGTACAACATGGTTAACAACTAGCAGTAGTAGCCAAGGATCTCTGCAAGTAAGGAAGACTGGGTCTCCTAAAACATACATTCATTTTAAAGTTGGTCCAGCCATGGCTGGAATGACTCCTGATTTACTCCTGTGTAGAACAGGAAGAGCACTTATATATGAAGAGGAGGACAAGGTGTATCATGGACTTGCATTTTCACTTTGAAATACTTAAATGACTTCTCCAAACCCAAGCCAGTTTCCTTCTGAACTAGACCCAGCAAATCAGACTCTCTGGTTTTGGAGGGCTTTGAGCCATGGCAGCTGCCCAGCTCTCCCCACCTCTGAAGTAGCTGCCTTGGATAATAAATTCCGGAAGGAAGAGCAGCCTTCTGCTTAAAGTTAGTGCTTGTGGAACGTAAAGAAGTATTTTTTGGAGTGTGCTGGGCCAGTGCCTTTCTGGAACTGTAGTACTTCGTGCACTTAGTCATCTCTAGGGGACAGACTGTAGGGGTGGACTACATCTCCCATCAAGGGCTGCACACATCTCACGAACATAGGAAGCCCAGCCCAGAAAAGATGGATGCACAGAACAACCAGACCTTTCCAACCTTCTGGTTGTCAAAAAAGAACTCACCACAATGTGAACTTTGGGAGCATGAGGCAATTCTAGGTTCCTGTTTTGCCTTCAAGGTCCTTTGGGTAGATCCCCATCTTTTTGTCCCGTGCATGTACAGCTCTTGGCACTGTTACAATTTTGGCCATCACAAAGTGCCTTAGCAGTGGTACAACATGGTTAACAACTAGCAGTGGTAGCCAAGGATCTCTGCAAGTGAGGGGGACCGGGTCTCCTAAAACATACATTCAATTTAAAGTTGGTCCAGCCATGGCTGGAATGACTCCTGATTTACTCCTGTGCAGAACAGGAAGAGCACTTATATATGAAAAGGAGGACAAAGTGTATCATGGACTTGCATTTTCACTTTGAAATACTTAAATGACTTCTCCAAACCCAAGCCAGTTTCCTTCTCAACTAGACCCAGCAAACCAGACTCTTTGGTTTTGGAGGGCTTTGAGCCATGGCAGCTGCCCAGCTCTCCCCACCTCTGAAGTAGCTGCCTTGGATAATAAATTCCGGAAGGAAGAGCAGCCTTCTGCTTAAAGTTAGTGCTTGTGGAACGTAAAGAAGTATTTTTTGGAGTGTGCTGGGCCAGTGCCTTTCTGGAACTGCAGTACTTCATGCACTTAGTCATCTCTAGGGGACAGGCTGTAGGGCTGGACTACATCTCCCATCAAGGGCTGCACACATCTCACGAACATAGGAAGCCCAGCCCAGAAAAGATGGATGCACAGAACAACCAGACCTGCTAATCCCATGAACCACCTAAATTTCTCCTACAACATTTCCAGTTTGTACTTTATGATTTTTCAATGAAACATTTTTTGGAAAATACCAATTTTTGGAAATACCAATTTGCCAGCAAGTTTTGCTGTCTTGTCCAGCATTTGCCCTGAAGGACAAATTGAACAAATTGAATGTTAACAGCCTGGGAAGAAGGTCTGAGATGTTCTTGGCTACAGCACAATGACAAGGGGACCTGCCAGATGTCGCACAAGGCGTGCTTCACCTGGTGACATCCAAATGCGAGCTCCTGACAGTGGTTAAGAATTTACGGTGCATTAAATCTTTCAAGGATTTTTGAAAAGAGCTGCTGATCCTGTCAACTAGACTTCTGGGATAACCTCTGAAACCCAGTATGATACTTCCATGAGTTATGGATGTGAATCTGATCTTTCTGTTGCCCGTGTGAACCAGTGAGACCCTTGAAACCAAGTGCCGTTTCCCAGCTATGAATAAAGGGAGAATTGGACCCGTTTTTTTTTCTTTCTCTGACTTTACTGAATATAAATGAAGGCACAGACATGCTAACTGCATTACACACAGATCCTGGTGACAGCAACTTCTCAGTGCTTGAGAGACAAGAGAAACTGTCATTCGACTCTGATCATCAGCTTTATTGTATGCCAGCCAGACGATACACATTTCATGCAGACTACACATTTGCTCCAGCCGCCGCTCGGAAGAAAGTGCTCGACTTCACGTGCGCTGGTCCTGCACTAAGGTACTTGGTTCTTGGTCTGTAGCACCAGTGGTTTTCTCAGGCGTCCTGGAAGCAGAGAAAGAGCATCATTGCAAAGCTGCCCCAGAGGAACGCACAAAATCGAAAAATGCCACCCCCAAGTTGGAATTTGCCCCGTGACACGTGGCTCTGCGGAGGGCTCCCCGAGCAGCCCGCACATGTTTGGTATGTCCTTAGGCTGGTTGGTGAGCCTGGTCCTGGTCCAAAACCCGTGGATGTCTGCAAAATTAGGAGGGCTGGAGCTCTTGGCTTTTTGACCAGCCCCCCGGGTTCAACTGGGACCAGGACCAGGCCCACCCACCAGCTATGAAAAATGATTGCCAATTGATTATAACCTGCATCGAACGAGCACCTCGATGTAAAATTGTCTCACGAAGAAGCAGTTTGTTTCCCTCAAGGCAGATGGTGAAAGGACTATAAAGCAGGGGAGCCGAGCTCTTGTGCTGCTCGGGAAGCACCCGGTGCCTGTTAAAACAACCAGCAGGAAAGCAAGGCCAGCTAACACATGCCAACCCCCATGTGAGAGCAAATCTTCTCCTCAATGCCCCCAGGAGACACCAGGAGGTGATGGTGGCACCAAGGCATTGGATGCCTGTTAGGATCAGCTCTGGGGCCATGTACCTGGGATACTCATGATGGGACCATAAGAAAACAAAGCCTGGGAGGTAGGGTAGATGCTGCTAGGAGCTCTGGATGGGTGCTGGAGGGAAGGTCGGGTCTTGCTGAAGTGCGGAGGGAGAGATGGGGAAGGGAAGAGCTGGAGGGAATGAGGGAATCAATCTTGATTAGGAGAGAGAATTAGAAGGAGGTTCTCCAGGGATGAGGAGAGATGTGTGATGGACGGGCAGGGATGTGTAAGGCTGCATGAAGCAGATGGAGAGGCAGGAGAAAACTGCTCAGCTTTGAAATGAGCAACTTTGCACAGCGGTTGCATTAAGGGACTGCGGAGATCTCTCCTTGTCCACCGGCCAGATGTTGGCTTTGTGTAGGGAATGGTTCCAGCCTGCAGGCTGAAGGAGGGAAGGAGAGGTTGACACCACGACCAGGAGAACATGCTAGTTACCATCTCCTTGGCCCATGAAACCAGCCCAACCCAGACACATGAGTCTAACCATCCCTGCCTGAGAGGCTCATGAGGCAGGACCATATGGACAACCCTGGTCGGGCAGCTCTTGCTCAAATACTCACCCTCATCCTGCCCTTTGTGCTTACAGTGAAGAGATATTTGGTGCCAGAAGCTGCTGGCAGAGGTCAGTAAGGCCTTTCCCCTGTGTTCCCTGTGTAGGAAAACTGAGGAGTCCTTCCAACGTACCAGTTTCTGTGGAAATATGGTGAGCCCAGCACGGTAAATCAAGGGATTAGGGGAAAGTGTAGGGTGGCTCCTCTTTGGAAAGATGCCCCACTGTCAGGACAGACCGGGCCATGCTGCTTATGCACAGACATCTGCTAGGACAGGACCATTGCTTGGTCTCTGGAGAAGGCTGGAGATGCCTGCACATCCTTGCCAGTGGAGAGCGTGCCCAAGGGCACTTGCACGTGCAAGCTGGGCAGGTTGATGTTGCCAGCAGCTACTCCAGATGCCAAACCATCCCCTGTAAGTATGTCTTCACATCTGATCTAGGAAGGGAGGATGTGGTAATTATGGGGCCTGAGCTCAGGTCTTCCTGGGCCAGTGCATCTGTGATGATGCAGGTTGTAGGTGGGTCAACGCCAGGCTATTCCCACCTCTTCCTTGGTGTCCAGCCCTGCTCTTGCTGCTGCCCTGTGTTTCAGAACAGGGTGTGAAAGCCAAAAATCATCTCTCCCTGGAGCAACGTAAACTGATTGAAATCACTCGCCATCAACACTTCCCTTAGCACCTGCTAGAGTCACCAGGAGAATTCACCCTTCTCAGCAGCCCTGGTGTGGTACCTCTCTGTTGAAGTATCCAAAAAACCGTTTTCATGAGTGTGTGCATCCTTCAGCAAGACCCAGCCTCCTGGAGGACAAAGAGGCTGTGTCCTATCCCCATCCCCTGGCTTCCTCCTTGTTTGCATCAAATACAGATAATTGTGTGATTGTCCTTCCCGGTAAAGCTCATTCCAGACCTGTTTTAAACTGGAAGGAGTGTGAGGGGGAGGAAATAACTTTATTTTCCCTGGGAATTGGTATCCAGGGACAACACAATATCGCACAGCTTGTCAGCAGGAGGAGAACAGCTCTGGCTATTGTCTGCAGGGCTGGTCCTGGGTATCAACCTTGGGAAGAATGAGCTGGGAGGGTACAAATCGGAGGGTTGAAAGGAAAGCCTGAAACATAACAAGTCCTAACACACAAACAGCAACATTTACAAATGATCTTTGTCTCAGCTGAGCGAGGAAAGAGTTTGGAGATCTTTGCCCTCAGGAGGGCAACCAGTGGCAAACTGTTGGGTTAGTTATGTGATGTGACAAGGTGAGAAATGCAGAAGAGATGAACTGGAGGTGACAGATCATTACTCAGGTTGTATCTGAGAGAGGGATGCAGAAAGAGTATGAAATTCAACAGGAATTTGTTTCCCAGAGGCAGCGCATGGTGTTTGGAAATAACCAATGGATGACCACCATAACCACATATAACACAGTCTCCTCTTCACTGGTCCTGGTGTAACAACGGGGAGCTAGGATCTTGTGACTTGAGGTCTAAACTTGTCTCTGACGATGATGGGCTCCAGCAGCATTACCCCATTCTTCACAGATTTGGAAGACCTTTTTGCAGCTCATCCTTGTCATCCAAGGATTCAGGTCTTGATGTTTTGGTGGCCTCACTTGTTCCTCTGTGGATTCAGGTCTTGATGTTTTGGTGGCCTCATATCAAAAAGATCCAATGACATTTATCTCTTCTGCAAAATTATCTTCACTCAAAGCTGTTCAACTAGTTGGGAGCTGCTATTCTGCAAAATTATCTTCATTCAAAGCTGTTCAACTAGTTGGGAGCTGCTATGAGTCCGTATAGACAGACCCAACTCCAGGCATACAGAAAATGAAAAGCTGCCTTGAAGAGCAGCTAGAAGCATCCTCTACCAGCAACTCAGAAACACCAAAATAGCCCCAGGCACATATAGCTGTGAAGTTTGATGCCAAAGGGCCATTTTTAAAAAAGAGCCATGAGAAATTTGTCCTTTCTTTCCCAGAGAATTTAGGTGAGGAGACGTCTCTTCTCTGTGGAGGAATTGACCTTTTGGCTAGAGCCCTCACCCAGGAGGACATTGGCAGGTTCATGTTCCTTAGAAGGTAAAAACTCATCAATTCTTGGGCAAATGCAATTAAAAATTTAGGTTGTAGGATTTGGTGAGTCACTTCTCTCTTCTGAATGCTTTATTGCACATTGTGCAGTGAGGTTTGCCATCCACGATAACAGCTATAAAAATATAAGTCCTCTTTTGTCCCCAGAAATGGCCTTAACATTGTACTTAATAACAGGTCTCAGTTACATGCCTTGGAAAAGGCCACGGCATTGAATAGTGGGGCCAACACTGTAAGTTACAGCAGGGAAATGAAGAATTTCAGCAAGCAGAGGGGTTTCTTTGGCTTGCATAGTTTGGGTGGGCACTGAAATGCACACCAGTTTGGGGCCAGCAAGGGCTGATGGAGAAGAAAGTGTCTGGTTGTGAAGTCTGACCTGATGCAGGTGTGAGTTGAGCAACAAGGAGCTCAGCACTTCCAAGTTTAAAAAACTGCTCACCTCCAAAGCAGCAGATATACAAGCATTTGCAAAGCTCTGCTAGCAATTCAGATGTTAGAAGACTTCAATGTACCTCCAAGGTCAACTAGGGACCTCGGTGGCATCCAGGAATGTTGTCCTAAATACTATTCAATCCCTAAAACTGTGAAGCTGAGACTTTTGGCTGCCGTTTTGAGTTGTTCTAGAGTTTTTTCACTCTTGGAGTCTAGAGTGTGGAGGAGGAGGCGGCAGCACTGTGAAAGCATGGCAGGTGGGAGCAGGTCATGGTGACACATGGGAAAGGATGCAGGGCCATACTTACACCAAGGGATCCTCTTTCCCACTACCTCTTTCCAGTATCTACACTGAAATGCTTAGAACCTGGAGATGTCAAGCACTACCCAGCTGCAGGTCCCACTTGTTCTAGATAAAACCTCCAGGCTCCTCACTGAGGAGGACTGGACCTCCCCACAAGTTTCGTCTCTTGCATAGTGCCACTGAAGGAAGCCCAGAGGACCGAGCACTGCTTGATCCTTCTCCCATCCATGTCCACAAACCAGCTTCAGTTTGGCATTGAGTTAGGTCTTCGGACCTAACTCCTGCAGATGGCCCATGAAACCAGACTGATGGTCATTCTGTGAGCTCAGCTCCTCACTCAGCATGATAAAGAGTCTCCTTTGCTTTCTGGCAGGGTGGTGTCACACTACCTGCAGTGAGGGTCACAGTAAGAGAAGAGGAACTGAGCTGCTCCTGCATCTTTCCATGGGTGTGTGGAGCAGCTGGGAAGAAGCACCATCTCCATATGCACAGATAGCTCCAGTCAGCACAGACCAAAATAGCACATTCAGGCAATAAATTAGGACAAGGAGGGAGCAAGGAGCCACCTGGGGCTTAGTTACAATTGGGTCCCTGCTGTACTCACAGGTTGAAAGGATCACGGGCAGGTCTAGTCCTAGTCTGGGGTGGAGGAAGAAGATGTTCAGGGCACCTTCTGAACAACAAGAAGCCTCCTGGGCATCCAGCTCTGAAACATGTCCTTCTGCTTCTTCCCCTGAGAGGTGCACCTGCTTGGATTTCCACTGACACACTTCTGCCCACGGTTTTCTGTATTGCGCTGGGAAATGCAGTTCCTTTAACATCAGCTGCTTCTGCTCTGGGTTACAAGATTTCTCCTTCCATTCTCCTCATTTGCTGCATTTGTTGAGCCACCTGCCAGCCCAGGACATCTCTGCAGGAAGCTGGAGAAAGGCCAAACTCTTTATCAGATGCACCAGAATTGCAAAGGACAGAAGGTCATGCAGCTCTGAATATGTCAGGCTCCTACACAGACAACAAAGCTTGTCTCT